GTGTAACAGTCCACTAACTACCACCACTACCACCACAACCACCACAACCACCACACCAACCACTACAACCACCACAACCACCACAACCACTACCACCACAACCACCACAACCACCACACCAACCACTACAACCACCACAACCACCACAACCACTACCACCACAACCACCACAACCACCACACCAACCACTACAACCACCACAACCACCACAACTCCAACCACCACAACCACCACAACCACCACACCAACCACTACAACCACCACAACCACCACAACTCCAACCACCACAACCACCACAACCACCACACCAACCACCACAACCACCACAACTCCAACCACCACCACCAGCACGACCACCACCAGTGATGCATCCCGCGTCAGTCTGGGCATGCTCCATCTGCTGCTTGGACTGTTTGTCTATGCTTTGATAAACAGAACAAATATCTGAAGCTTCACTTCTATAATAAATTAAAATGTTTCTGGAAACATATTTTAAAGATGTCAAAAGCAAATGTAACGTATTTTTATTTCAGTCAACTTTAAATTAAGAGGTTTATACAGTTTTTATTGACTGGTTTGACCTGTTTGAAGAAACTGGGAACCTCTCAGTCTTCATCATCATCCATCTCAGCAGAGCAGAAGACACCTCTTGTAAATGTGTTAACCCATTCTCATTGGATTGACACAGTTTTCCCACCATTTTGCGAAACAGTTAACGCAGATGTCCTTCAAGAAGTCCAAACTGTTTTAGCTGTCAGTATGAAACACCGAAAGCACCTGTTTGACACTTCTTCACAGAATTTTTCAATTTGCAATCAGTCTACAGACCAGTGTTGTTCTCTTATTCTCTGATAATAAAAGCCTACTATAGGTTTTTGTTCTTTACTGTAAAARACTGTGTTTTTTATTTACCTAATTTCTCACACAGTAAAGGATTTTWTTTTTTTTCTGTGTATTCTCTGTTGGAATATTTCATTTGTCCGGCACAGTCTGAAAAAAAGAATGTAATCAATAAAATTAGCATCAAAGCATTATCTGCTTCTGGATGCATTTTTGCAAGAGGGCAAATTTRACTACAAACAGCACTGGCATGTAATCTACGTACAGTCATAGGCTACAATGACAAGCAATGGTGCACTGATTCACACGAGTGCTGTGTTTTCCATACTTGAAGACAAAATGTTCTTGTTTTGAGCAAAAGGCTGCACACCAGGAATATGTGGTTGTAACCAGAGCACAGAGGTCACACCTACAACTAAGCTGTTGTAAATCACAGTGGAACAGGATACCTTTTTTAAAGCATTGTATAATAGTTTGAAGCTAAAGGTGTTTAAAAAATGTACGTTTGAACAAACAGCAGCTAGATGAAAGGTACATTAATCAACAAAAATCACAACCAGAACAAAACTCTGAGTGAATTTTTATTTCTTTGTCAGGTAAATATCCAACTTGTTTGCATGGATGTGTGGGTCTTAAATGTGGGAATCACCAGAGCAATCAATAAATGTCTTATCAGATTCTGGGTCTGTGATTTCTATGCTAAGCTGGTTCTTCTTTTTAATGTATTTTACTGTCAGACCCTGTACAACTACAGACTTCATGTCAACTCTATAGACATTTCAGGGTAAATATCTAAAAGAATTKACCTAATTCATTATTTAAAGTCATTAACAAAACATGAAAAGCAAACAGGAAGACATTTTGATCTAGGTTTTATAAAACAACTCAAATACTCTTCAAAATAAGAGTCT